CCTATGCCTCATTATTATATCTCTGAAAGATAAAAAGATCTTTTTCTGACTAATTATTGCTTTTTAAAGAGTGCGCGGCTATCCAAAAAGAGTGTCTTTCGAGCCCTTTAACACTTCGCCGTCTCAAAATAAGAGAAGTTACGATAAAATTTATGATAGAAAATGTTGTAGCTCATTTAATTACCTTTAAAATACTAAATTACAAGTTTTGATAAAATCAGAATTAAAAGAGTTATATAATAATCCAATGAATGCGGGGGTGGTGACGGAGTGCAAATTGTTTTCACTTCTGAACTTAAGATTAAGATTAGCCTATTTTCAAAATGTCGTGCAATTGGAACACAGTAAAAAAATCATATAGTACACGCTTTTTTCCTCTCCATTTACTGCAATAATTTTGTTGATCGTATGTTGAATTTAGCACATGTGAACAGGTTTTGACAAATTAATTCACTTCAAATATAAACTTAAGTAATAATGTATATTGAATTATTAGTGAGAAAAATGTAATTTAGGTATTAAAATTACTAAAAGCCAGTTAAAATTTTACAGACAACATAATTTAAGCAATTATTTAGGGTAGAAAAATCCAAGGTGATATTGTACCTTTATCGTGAATGCGATATATTAATTCTTTCTAAATTTATTATATTTTTTAAAAGACTTAAATTTTCAACATGTGTATCTTATGCTATGACCATAAATACATCATACAGACAGACGATTATTTTTTGTGTGATAAATTTGGAAAATCAATGTTTTAGTAATGAACAAAAAAAATGATTCATTTATACATCCACACCTACAGGTATGACTAAAAATATTGTATAACCCTTGGAATAAATTTGTTCTATAAATTGAATTGTATAATTTTTAATATACAATTTTATTGAACATATTTTAATATTTGTTAAAGGAATAAATCATAATTTTATTTGAAGCAGTTCTAAATTTAACATCACTCATGTTAAATGTAAATAGTAATTCGAAAAAGAAGTATAGGACATTAAAAAAATGCAGATGTGGGTACAGGACAACGCGTGTCGGGTCATCTAGTCTTATATATACAATTCTTCTGTACGGGTGTAAGGCGAGATACTTCTCCTAAACGATTATTCGGATTTTGATAAATCTGTCTGAAGTTTGTTAAGGGAAATTTTTAAACAGTGAATGATTATAAAAATATAGTAATATTGTAGAAATAAATGAACTATATTGCAAAAAACGACACGCCATTGTTTGTCATTGAAAATATTTTGACAAATGAAAACTGTCATCTGCCAAAATTTCAATTCACTTATGAGCCTAGACAATATTAGAATATAATACATTTATGATTTTGTATAAAAAATATATGTTTGGTAGATGAAATTATATAATTCAGTTTGACAGATTATTATTTTTAAATAATGCATGTCGTGTTTTGCTTTACTTTACCTGATTATTTCACAATACAAAAAAAATTATTTAGTAGTTTCAATGTGTTGAAAATTCATTTGTTTGGCATTGGATACAAAATATTTACTCAAGTCAATGGAGCTTTTTGTGTCTGGATTTTTTTCTGTGCTCCAATTTGCATAAAATTTTGAAATTAGGTCCATCTTACTCTCAAGTTCAGTTAAAATTTAGACTCCGCCGTCGCCCCGCGCGGTATAACTTCCCTCCTCAGTGTTGTATTTTTTTTCAGAATAACGTCGTATATCGATAGAAAAACTAATTGTAAGAAAAAAATGTTCATAATGTTTTTCAAAACAGCAAATACTTTTCAAGTTAATGGCTACTAATAATTCGATTCTTTTTGGCGTTTTCATCGTTTTTTTTGCAAATATCTCCAAAAACATACATTTTAACGAAAATCGTGTAATGAACAAAATTAGATCAATTATAATCTTAATATATTGGAGTTTTATAATGTGTCCTAGGAACAATATAAGCGTTTCTTATTTCGTTCGATATTTAAATGTTGTATTTAAAGCCATCTAGCGGCAAAATGTTGTATTATATATATATATATATATATATATATATAAATATATCTTATATATAAAAATGGAGCTCTCTTTCAAATGTCTTAGTAAAACTTGAAAATGGCTAGACCGATTTGGCCGGTCTTAGTCTTGAAAATATCGTGCCAATCCAGAGAAAGTCCAAAAGTGAGAAATTATTTCAAATCCGCGTAGAAACTTTACATTTTTAATTTGATTTTTTTTTTTTCAAATGACAGATGAATACTACTCATATGTCAAAACAAAGTTAAAACAGATTATGTGTTATTCTTTTAATTTTATATATTTTTAAATGTTTAAATCTCAAGTATTAGCTCACAGCTTTTTTGTATTCTTTTATCAAGAGCTTGTAATAATACTATACTTATTGATTAAGGCTTGCTTATGAAAGAATAAATAAATAATTTTGTTTCAAACGCTGTACTGTGCAAGTATTTATTGGTTTAATGTGAATAATGTGTTACCAAAACATTTTCTGCATTATATTATTATTGCATTTAGGTTATTCAAATTAAGATCCTAAATTTGGAATTCATCGAAGGGGACACCATACACATTTCTGTCTAATCACTGATTGCAAGTTATAATAGACAGCGATATGAATAAGAAAATTGGATTATAACACAGATAGTAATTTTAGAAATTATATTCATGAAAATCTCAATTATGTGTACACACAAGTACAAGATCTTTGGAAACAAAGTTGTTTGAAAATTGCTTATATAGCTCACATTATGTTATGCGACATCCACATAAGTACAGTTTAAATATATATGGAAGTAATCATTTCGAATATACACAGTACAATCTATTTACAATACAAATTTCTCATTACAATACAAGAATGAGTTTTGTAGTTATATGGTCCATGATATTTATATCTTTAGGGTTTGACAAATGTCACAGTTCACACAAGAATGGAAAGTATCAGCAGTACGAACTTGCGTTATATTACATAGGCATTCTATGCATAGAAAGAAGTTTTTCCAGCATTCCAATTAGCAATGAAAAAATTAAAAAAGTTAAACATGGTAATAATGAAATTTTTACAGATTCTTCCTTATGTTGTTCAGATATAATGCTGTTATTGATTGGGTCTTTTTCAATTGCTTTCCGAGCATACCATATACAAGTCAGGGTAATAACAAAGATGCCAGTTATTTGGATACACGGTTGCAAAAAAGGAAAATCAAAATAAACTCATTGAAATTTATTACAGTTTGTACTCATGTTAAAAATGTGGATATGTACAGTACAATTTATTTACAGTACAAATTCTTCATTACAATTCTAGAACGATGGCAACAAATATCACAGAAGAATGGAAAGTATCAGCAGTAAGAACTTGCATTATATTACATGATTTCATCATCCAAATAGGTCGTGTACAGAAAGAAGTTTTTCCAGCATTCCAATTTGCAATAAAAAAATTATAATATTTTAACATATAACACATACAGAATTTTCTTTATGTTGTTCAGATACTAATGCTGTTATTGATCGGGTCTTTTTCCAATTACTTCCCGAACATACTATTTACAAGTCATGGTGATAACAAATTTGCCACTAATTTGGATACACGATTGCAAAAAAGAAAGTCAATATAAACACATTGAAATTTATTACAATATGAACTCATGTTAAAAATGTGAATATGTGAAAGCAAATTAAGAAAGAAAAAATGTCCATTTTCTATAGCTATATAACAATCCGGAGAACTCTCAGCATAAAACATTTCACGGAAAATAATTTTTAAATTGCAACTTACTGATAATAAGCGAAATTATAATCATTTAGAACTCCAAGATGGTTATTGATTATATAATTAATAGAGAAAAATAATAAAATAAATTTAAACAACATTTGTTATTTGTTTATTGCTTATTAATTTATATACATTTATGTCATGGGATATTAAAGAAGAAATACTAATTTCATTGAGGAAGAAATTCGTCGACTACTAAATTATTTCAAATAAAATTCTTTGAACAATAAATTACTACTAATGTCTAATTTCTTTATTTGTGAATACATTAAAAGTAAATACATTAAGAATATTAGGAATACATTAAGTAAAAACAAATGTACTATGCATTTTTTGATGTTTCTGAAAATTCTTTAATATTTCAATAGATTAATGTTTACATAGCTGATAAAAAATTTTATTAGTTCAACGAAAATATATATATATATATATATATATATATATATATATATATCATTATAATTAATATATATTATTATAATAAAGATTGAGAAATATATATCGTTTTTTGTATAATTTATCACTTAGAAACGCATTGTTATAGCTTTATATTGTCTTCACATTTAGTGTTTAACATTTAGCATAAAAGCGCAGTTTAATATATTATAGAATCTATTATATTAAGTTGGTGATATACATTTTACATAAATGTAGTGTTATAAATTTCAAGCAACGAATTTTTTACTAATTATTTGTTTTATTTAATTTAATAGAATTTTTTAATATATTTTAAGATTTAGAACAAGAAACAAGCTGAAAAAAAAGTTTTAAGGAAAATTATGTTTAAATTACACATTATGATTATGTGTTACTTTGATTATCATTTAATCTTCTTATTACTTTCTTATGTGCATCATATTTTCTTATCTTCAATATTTCCTATGTGTTTGCGTTATTTTTTAAGTATTCTATTTTATACATTTTTTTAAGCTTATGTTAGTAATAAGTTAAATTTGAATGCAATGGTCATCAGTGCAAACATTGATGTATGAAGTTAGCTGTAATATAAGTAATATTAGTTGATTAGTTAACATAAGGATTAATGCTTTGTTTGATTACTCTTATTTTATCGATGGTTTGAAGCTTAATGCCGAATCAAATTTATTGTGAAAGATAGTGAGAATACAGAGTTATTGAAGAAGTGTAGTGTTTTAGTGTGATTTAGGAGAATTACAAACCCTATATACAGTAGTATCTATACTATATAAATCTGATACCAGCTGTTCACGATGCCGAGAAGAAACAGACCTGACATTGGTCATCGAAGTCGATTAACACGCCTAAAACGTAATTCGCGTAATAACCGCACTGATGGGCAGATGGAGACTGATAATAATGATAGCCAGATTGGAATGACAGATTTGCTTGAATTTAGAGAACAAGGTGCTGCAAATCGATCGCAACAGCAGCGAGCACGCGAAAATGAAACTTCTCGAATTCGCAGAAGCAATGCTTTAGTCAACCTGGAGCGAGCAGCATTCTCTTATGATCCGGAAATAGATTACAGTTTTACACACAAATTTGTAAAAATTGGAGACATGTCGATCATTTGTCAGCACTGTAAAGCCTTAAAATACAATGGTGAATTTGCAGGACTATGTTGTGCTGGCGGTAAGGTGAAGTTGCCACAATTGGTACCACCACCTGATCCATTCCACTCACTAATTTTTGGAATGACCAATGACTTTTTATCCAACATCCAGAAATATAATAATTGCTTCCAAATGACATCTTTCGGAGCAACGCATATCGCACAGAACAATTTCATGCTGACGTTCAAGGTCAGTATGAAATATCTGACAATGTATAATAATGTTTCTAATGTTAATTTGTATTTGTATCAAAAATAAATTGAAAATGTCATAAAAAATTACAAGGTGCAAGGACAAGTTCATCACCTATTGGGAGCACTGCTGCCATTACCAGATGCAGATCATCAATTTCTACAAATTTATTTCCTAGGCAATCAGGACGCTTAAGTTGATACGCGTTATACCCATAATCCATCAGTAAAGCGATCCGTTGTCCAACAACTGCAAACGTTTCTTCATTTCAACAATCGTTTAGTGAATTTATTCAAAGTGGCACTTGATCAAAAGCCAACAGACAGCCGTAATATTGTAATAGGAGCTAACAAAACACCTGCTGGTGAGCATGCAGAAAGATTTAATTCACCAACAATTGATGAGGTGGTTATAGTCGTTGTTGGAGAAAATATGCAATTAAGAGATATTGTGTTTCATCGCCAAAACAATGAATTAAGGCGCGTGTCCGAAACTCATAGGTCTTACGATGCTTTCTAATATCCGTTAATCTTCTGGCAGGGAGAAGATGGCTACCACTTTAGTGTCAAAATGGTTTATCCAATATCAGGCAATTATAAACATAAGTAAATCATATTTTTTAACTCAATATCTATATTATTATTTGTGATTTTAGGTGCTGAAACCAATAAAAAAGTTAGCGCTATGAATATTTATTCATAGAGGCTGATGATCCGTGATGGTAAAATAAACCACGTTTTGATGTGTCAACGACTTTTTCAACAGTTCGCTGTTGACATGTATGTCAAAATTGAGACTGAGCGATTAACATACATCCGCTTAAACCAACACCTTCGATCTGAGAAATACATCCATCTACGTGATGCTATTATTGCCGATGGTAATGCAAACAATGTGGGTAAAATGACAATTTTGCCGGCTACCTACATTGGAAGCCCGCGCCACATGCACGAATACGCACAAGACGCATTGACATACGTTAGAAAATATGGTCGCCCTGATCTATTCATTACATTCACATGTAACCCGCAATAGATAGAAATTAAGAAAGAATTGATACACGACCAAACACCAGGATATAGACATGATATTACTGGCAGAGTTTTTAAACAAAAATTGAAATCTTTGTTGAATTTCATAATAAAGCATCATGTATATGGCCAAGTACGTTGCTGGATGTACTCTGTTGAGTGGCAAAAGCGTGGTCTTCCACATGCGCACATCTTAGTCTAGTTAATTGACAAAATGAGGCCAGAAGATATTGATTCAGTCATATCAGCAGAGATTCCTAATAAAAATGTTGATCCAAATTTGCGTGCAATAATTACTAAACATATGATACATACTCTGTCAAGTCAATAAAATATATATGCAAATATATTAACAAAGGTAGTGACATGGTCATGTTCGCTGTTGCTAACATGTAACTAACAAGTAGAAGTTTCTGAGTATCAGATGAGTCGCTACGTAAGTAGCAATAAAGCAATTTGGAGAATTTTTTCTTTCCCAATATATAAAAGACACCCATCTGTAGTCCATTTGGCAGTCCATTTAGAAAATGGACAAAGAGTATATTTTAACCCCGTTAATGCTGTTGATAGAGCGGCGCATCCACCTCCAACAACATTAACAAGTTTCTTTTCAATATAGTACATCCAAATAATGATGAATGTTATTACCTTAGGTTATTGCTGGTTAATGTTCCTGGATCGACATCATTTCAACAATTGAAAACAGTTGATGGACATCTTTGTGCGACTTACCGTAAAGCATGTCACATGTTGCAGTTGCTCAAAAACGATTCGCATTGGGATAATACGCTCAAGGATGCTATAATATCCTCATTTTCGCATCAAGTGCGTACATTGTTTGCGATTATAATTTTAACATGTTTTCCCTCAAATCCAAAAGATTTGTGGATCAAATACAGAGATGACATGTCTGAGGATATTTTACATAGTACGCGTTGTCAAACATTTAATCCAGCACTACAAATTACTGCAGAAATTTATAATAAAACTTTAATGATGATAGAGGATATGTGTTTATTGATGCCGAATAAAATATTATCATGTTTGGGCCTGACAGCACCAAACCGTTGTGTACAAGATGCATTTCACCACGAGTTAAGAAGAGAGCAACAGTATGATATTAAAACATTGACCGAAATAGTTCGCACAACTGTTCCAAAGTTGAATGATCATCAAAGGATTGTATTATATATGGTTATATAAGGATTATATATGGTGATTTGATACAAGCTGTGAACAATTCCTGAAAAACATTCCTGTTATCATTGCTATTGGCAAAGATCAGATAGCAAAATAACATAGCTCTAGCATTGGCATTATTAGGAATAGCAGCAACATTGTTAGAAGATGGACACACGGCACATTCAGCATTGAAGTTACCTCTTAATATGCAAATCAATGAAACGCCAGTTTGCAACATCAGAAAAACTAGCGCCATGGCCAAGATACTTCAGACACGCAAATTGATTATCTGGGACAAATGTACAATGACCCACAAGAGATCACTGGAAGCACTGGACAAAACATTGAAAGATTTACGTGACAATCAAAATATTTTTTGGTGGGGCAATGATTTTGTTGTCAGGTAATTTTCGCCAAACTCTTCCAGTTATACCACGATCAACTGTTGCTGACGAACTAAACGCATGCCTAAAATCTTCAAATTTGTGGCGCCATGTTAAGAAACTCCAGTTAACAACGAACATGCGAGTGGTTTTGCAACAAGGTGAAACAGCGAAAGTGTTTTCAAAGCAGTTACTAAATATTGGAAATGGTAATGTCGCAGTTGATGCCTCGAACGTGTTAATAATATTTTCCGCAGATTTTTGCAGCTTCACAAACATATAGGAGGAGCTTATTCAATACGCATTGAAATATAAACGAACAATTTCACGATCTCAATTGGTTGAGCGAACGAGCAATATTGGCGGCGAAAAACAAAGATGATGATTTCAATGCAACAATACATAGTTTACTTCCAGGGGAATGCTTTACTTATAAATCTGTAGACACCGCTACAAATCAGGATGACATACTCAACTATCCTACAGAATTTCTAAATTCATTAGAATTGCCTGGGCTGCCGCCACATAATTTACAATTGAAAGTAAGATCAGTTGTCATCATGCTACGTAATTTAAATCAGCCCATACTATGCAATGGAACATAAAAAATTATATAAAAAAGCTAATGAATGATGTAATTGTGGCAAAAATCATTAAAGAAAAATACAAGGGAGAAGATGTATTGATCCCGCAAATTCCTATGATCCCAACGGATTTACCATTTGATTTCAGGCGTTTACAATTTTGAATACTCCTCGCTTTTGCAATGAGCATCAATAAATCGCAAGGACAGTCGCTGCAGGTTTGCGGTATCAACTTAGAGTTTCCATGTTACGCACACGGCCAATTATACGTTGCGTGTTCGCGCGTCGGGAAACCATCATCCTTATTCATTTACGCACCGCAAAAAAAGACCAAAAATATTGTCTACAAAAAAGCTTTATATTGATTCCAAAACATTCGATTCATAAAATGTATGAAAGATGTATAAAATATTTTATATATGAAATATAAAAAAATAGGTATTTTTGAGGATTAAAATATAGTATATCTGAAATCTTCGCATTGATTCTATTCATAACCAAACGTGTTAATTATTTCATATACAAGATTTAATTAAATTTTATTAATGATTATTTATGTGATACGAAGTTCACCGGGTCAGTTAGTATATTATAAATATATATATATATATATATATATATATATATATATATTATATATATATATAAATATATATATATATATATATATTCTATGGGGTTTTATAGTGTGTACTGTTAAAGGTTTGTTTTTTTATTTAAATCAAATAGTTTTATGAATGCCATTTCCACAAAAATTAATATTAATCGTATTTCATCTAGAATGAACTTGGTTCAAGAGATTTCAAAACATCATGCAAAAATCCATGATGGTTTTTTTTACCGCAGATACTATACATTAGTTCTTTTTGAATTTGTTATACTGTTTAAAAGATTGCAATTTCCAATACGTATATCTTATGGTATAAAACACAAAAGCAAAGACAATCGGTGAATTTTTGTGTGATAAATTTGAAAAATCAATGTTTTAGTCGTGAATAAATAAAAAAATATTTGTTTATACATCTACATCTACAAGGATGACTAAAAATACTGTATAACCTCTGCCATTAAAATAAATAGACTTATTGGAAATAAGTTTTTTTATAAATAGTAGTGCATAATTTTATTATACAATTTTATTGAACATATTTCAATATTTGTTTGTTTGATATATGTTAATTGTTTTACGTGGCTGATTTGAATTTCACAGTATAATTAAAGAGTTAAGTGTAGGATCTGAGACACATTTAAGCTCATACTACCGAATCGGTTTAAAAAAACGAAAAACTGTTCGAAAGATATTAGTTGGAAATAATACTGATTAGTTTTAGGTAAAAATTTACCGAGCATTTTTCTTGTAATTAACTGTCAAAAAAAATTAAGCCAATTTTTATGAAACTTTTTTTATCAATATATATCATGGTTTTATAGAACTTACTGAAATATAACGGCATTACGACAAGTAGTTTAATTTTAAAAATTCATCAAAGTTTGAGAAAATGAGTAGTTTTTTTGACGTTTGTTAAAATTAAAATTAGATGACGTTTCTGTGGTTGTTGAACATGTCTGGCAATATGATACTAGTAGACAGAGTGAGACAATTGCCAAATACATTGATACTTACATACATGTTACATTACATCACACAAACATGTAAGTATTTACTTAGAGTTTCTCTAAACTTCCAAAAGTGTTATAAAAATATATAAATTAATAAAAAGATATCTCTATCTTTATAAAAATGTATTAAAATATATGATTATCAAAACTACAAAATGTCATGACATCAATATTTGTTTCTCACAACTGTCTACTTGATTCCCCATAATGTCTAAGATATATCTTCAGCATGTTAGAATAAAGCTGCGTTGCTTTAATATTCTTTAATCTCTATAAAAAACGCAGATAGTTATTAAACAACGCATAAAGAAATACTTATTTCATAATTTGACTTATCATGTGATTGTGTTTGAAAAACTTCATGCAATTAAAATTAACATATATTCATTGACTGC